GCGGGGGGGCCGGGGCGCCTGGGTGGAGGGCGCGGGAGGCGGGGGCCGGGGCGGCCCGGGGATGGAGGCGTGAGCAGGCAGAGAGGAAACCCGGACAGGGGCAGAGAGGGAAGAGGCAGGGTGCAGATGAGATCCAGGAGGAGGAAGAGGTGGATGAAGATGAGGCGGGGCCTCCCGCGGGAAGCGGAGGAGGCGGCGGTGGCGGGAGGGAGAAAAGGTTAGCGGGCTCCTGGGAGGACTGGGCTGTAAAGAGAAAGCGAGAGAAGGGATGGTTATGCAGGCGAGGCGCCGGGCGCGCGGCTGAGCTGACCCTGGTGGCCCGTCCCCGCCCGCAGGCCCCGGCCCCCCGGTTCGGCGGCTGGCTCCAGCGGGGCAGTGGGCGGGAGGCTCTGGCTTTTATGCGCAATCATTCTCCTCGGGGGGCGGCTGCACCTTTCTCCTGTGTACCTGCCTCCACCTGCACCTGTTCCACCTCCTGCCGCCGCTCGTCCTCCAGCTGCTCCTCCGTGCTCTGTGGACCAGCCGGCGGACCCAGGGAAGAAAGAGTGGAGAACTAACGAGGGGCCAGGGCCGGCGGGCGGCTGTCCCCGTGGGCCCCCTCTCAGGGCGGGCGAGATGCGGGGGCGGGGGGCAGGGACCTTAAGGAGGGAGAAGCTGGGGCATCTTGTCCCGTCCCCTGGGGGCTCTGGAAGGGCCTGGAGGAAGGGCACGGGACGGGGCCCCCGCTGGGGGATGCTCACGGAGCAGTCCGGCCGCTACTACGGGGTGCAAGGCCGGGTGAGGGCTGGAAGAGGAACGGGTGGGTGTGTGGCCAGGGGAGCCTGGGAAGGCCTCACTTCAGGAGGGCTGACCCAGAGTAGACACGAGGCCAGGGAAGGCCCGGGGATGCCATGGACAGGTTCCGACGCCCCAAGCTCCCAGGCTTTGGCGCAGAGAGGCAGGAGCAGCGGGCTTGCTCTGCACCCTCGCAAGGCAGTGCCAGCCACTGACCCTGATGGCGGTGGGGTGGGCAGGGGGAGTCGCAGGACGGGGAGGCAGACAGACAGGAAGCCCGGGTTCGTAAGTCTCCGACGCACTGGGACAGACCCCCTCTTCCCCCCCAGAGGGAATGGTCTCCCTCTTTCCCTGCCTGGCTTGCTGCCCTGCCCCATCGGCCCCACCAAAGGCCCTCGAGGCTTCTGACCGGCTCTGGGTTCGAGGCGGCAGGACCTGTGCTCAGCCCCCTTCCCCACAGCCGGCTTTGCTGCCTCAGAGGCCAGGGCAGGAACACGTGGCTGGGTCCCCCGGGGTTGCTGACCTCTCCCCTGCAGAGCACCCGAGGAAGGGGCCCCGGGGAAGGGGCAGGATGCACAGATTTGGCTTCCCTGCCCCGGCCCTGGCCAGCTGGGAACATTTACCCACCTCTGGGAAATAAACTGGCCATTTTGGATCCCAGAAGCTCTAAGCGTGGCGGCACCAGAGAGGACGTAGTCTACCCTCACTTCTCAGAGAACACACCGGAGGGCCGGGGCTTGTCCAAGGTCACGCAGGGCATGGCACACCGTGCCCAAACCCCTAGTTCGGTACACCCTGTGGCCA